CACAGCAGATTTTAGTGAAATTTCGTAGCACCTTCGATTTTTATAATTTGTTCAACTTTGACAGCTTATACAACAAGAACTACGCAAATATCAAACTTACTAGTAGGCTTATTGGAAATGTCAAAGCTTTGTCTTGCAACCACATTTTGAATAATTTAAATAACATTTTCGTAGATTTTAGTAACATTTTGTAGCACCGTAGATTCTTACAATGTGTTGAACTTTGACAGCTTATAAAACAAGAACTGCGCAAATGACAAACTTATTAGTAGGCTTATTGGAAACGGCAAAGCTTTGTCTTGAAACCAAATTTTGAATAATTTAAATTACATTTTTGTAGCACAGTAGATTTTAGTACTAATTCGTAGCACCGTCAATTTTTACAATTAACGGTAATAATACTTACTTAACAGTTGTAATCAATATCTGACCTTTAACAAAATAAATGAAGTTATTTCTTTTCTCTTCGACTGCTGCAGCAGCTTTTTCTTTACACAAATTGGAAAATAAACTTACCTTCAATAATAAACTGCAAAATATTTCTTAAATTTGTAAATTAATCAATGGGGATGTGATCGTGATGGTTTAGAGATAGATAAATAAATGAAACACAGAGAGGTAAGATGAAAACGTAAATCAACTGAAAGATTTATTTCGTTAATTGTCAATCAATCAATTATTAATTATCATTAATCGTAATAAGTATTCATAATAATAATAATTATTTATTTATTAATCATACTTTTTTCTTCTTCACGTTTAATTTTACACATCATCATCATCATCGTAGGAGGGTCTAGCCATTTGAAAAGCTAAATTGTTTAAATACTGATAATTTATTGTATAATTCTTTAACATCTATATATTATTATTATTAAATGGAGTAGCAGAAATATTCTACCGTACGTAAAAAAGGAAAACGGAAAAACGAACGGAGAGAGAGAGAGAGAAAGAAGGGAAAAAAAATGAATGGAAAAAGAAAAATTGGCGATTATTTTTTCAGGTAAAATATTTCCACACAAAAAAAATATAGAATGATCACTGTATACATAACAATTGCTCTAGTTTTATTCATTTATTTATATATTATTTTTTTTCCTCTCTTTTCTCTGCTCGTTCAAGATCGAAAGAAAGGGGAAAAAATCTATCGATATTTAGTTTAGATATTAAGTTGTCACTTCAATATGCAATTATATATTTTTTTTTCTGTAGTTCTCAACATTTCTCGGTAGGTGGTGCGCGTTACAGAGCGAAACGTTACATAACGACGACACAAGAAGAACACATTTCATAATATCATTAGTTTACATCATATATATATCAAAAGCTTCCGATGGATGGATGATGAAAGAGTAAATTCTGGACGCGCCACCGGATCCGGAAACCGGATGCAGAGGAATTCATAATAATAAGAAAAATTAAAAGAAATTTACTGCAAACATACGGAATATGGTCGATAGGCGTGATTTCACTATTTCTTTTTTTTTTATTTATTTATTAGTATTATTTTTTTTTGTTATTATCTGTTTTCCGGTTTTCCGCCGGAAGTGGGCGTGTCTCAAGGACAACCTCTTCCTCTTCCCTACATCAACATCGTCATCTTCTAAGTCAGTCATGGTAGGAAAAAAGTATATAAATCGTATGATATGTGCACACACATTCGTACATATACTATACATATATATGCCCTATCTACAAATTGTTCATCAACGTAAAAAAAAAACTAAAATTTTTGAATTTGAAATTTTCTTCGAACGTAAAGTAAACGGAAAACGTTCTTCACATCGTCAACTCGGGTCATATTTTCTTCTACTCATACTTTCCTCCTTTACAATAGTTATCTGATAAAAAGAATTTGTTTTCTTCCGAATATCGAAACGAAAATTAACAACAATCGTTTTCTTAGTTTGACAAAGTTTAACAATTTAAAAAAAATCGAAAGTTTTATAGGATTAATTTTTATTAATTTTTAAATTAATTCTATTATTTTAAATATTAATTAAATCTGCAAATAAAATAAATTTGTTTAAGAAAAAAATATTTCATAAATTTCCAATATTATAAATTTGAA